TGTGTGCTGTCAGCATTTGGGTCTCATCCTTATCACCCTGCTGTCCTTTGGGCCTTTCTGTTGACTTCCATTTTCTGCTACATATCAGGGAAACTTCATGCAGTACCTGTTTTTGTTGTTGGTTGTTTTATAAGCATTGTATGTGAGTGGTTGCAGAAATATTAGGATTTTAAAGGCTGAAAAGAAAACCTCTGCAGAAAATTCTTTTAGCTTATTATGCTCTTAGTTTCACCCAGGTAAGATTAACATAAAGTGTGATAAATAACAATAGAAGATCCAGTCTATTGAAGAACTAGATTAATTTATACATTTCATGTTTCAAAAGTATTGGAATTCTTTTTTGATTCCTTAGTTAAATACTAAGGATTTGAAACAAGCATTTACCTATTTGATAGGTAAAAATCTCCTTATAGTATTTTCAGTATTTAATACCATTTTTGTTTGCGATTGTGGTGCACCACTTCTTAGTTAAGAAGATAAATAGGCGTAACAAAAATTGGTCTGTCAGATACTGGACGATCTTGGCGTTGCTGAGTGAAGTTCTCTTTCGGTATTCATGTGAAAACAATGCAGACACCAAATAAGTTCCATCGGCTTGTCTTAATCAGTAAGCTGTCTAAAAAATATTAACTGCTGAATGCATCTGCTGCTAGTCTGCTTGTGTCTACCAAGAAGACTGAATTTCTGTCTTTGAAATTAAGTGTAGCCATGTTCTCTGTTATTTACTAATATATTACTATATTGTAATTATAATAATGGATTTATGCCAGTATTATAAACAACTGCTGAAAAACAGTTGGAAAATGATCTGGAGAGTTGCAAAATTGAGTGGGAAGTTTGCCCTTTGAACAGTGACCCCCATGGGATATAAACTTCCACTTCCTCCCTTGTGAAAGTCTGGGCATGTAAGTGTTGATAGCTGTGGGTAGTCCTTCTGGTTCTATATGTCATCAATGAAAACTGGTTCTGTATTAAAGGTTTTCTTGGGTTCTCTTAGACAAATCTTACAGAATTTTGTTTACATTACTACAAATATGGAATTTTCAAGGAATTGTCACTTCCTGTCTTTTATGTAAGATTTAAACTGCAGGAGCAGCTTCACAATAGAGTTACAGATTCTTGACTTTACATATATTTATTGCAATTACTAATGCAACATTCAGTCCTGACAGTGGGGCACACATCTACTTGTATGAGAAGAGACGACTTAGGGGGGATTTAACTAATGTGTATAAATATATGAGGGCTGGGTGTCAGGAAGGAAAGGGCAACCTCTTCTCACTTATGCCCTGCGATAGGACATGGGGTAATGGTCACAAGCTGGAGCATGAGAAGTTCCACCTCAACATGAGGAAGAACTTCTTTACTGTAAGGGTTCCAGAGCACTGGAACAGGCTCCCCAGGGAGGTTGTGGAGTCTCCTTCCTTGGAGACTTTTCAGACCCGTCTGGACGCGTTCCTGTGTGACCTGCCCTAGACTAGATGGTCCTGCTCTGGCAGGGGGGTTGGACTCAGTGATCTCTGGAGGTCCTTCCAACCCCTAACATTCTGTGATTCTGTGATATTTAGGGCTTATACAGCTGTTATCCTTAACTCAAGCATGTTATTGTTTGTGCTTTCTCCTCAAGCTTCAGGGAAAATCTTCACTTACCAGGCCACTATCCTTTGTCAGTTTAGCTTACCAATGCCATTATTAAATTTTGAAGCTCTGAGAAAATGTAGATGGTTTTCTAAATTTTAAATCGACCACTGAAATGGAATAGTTGTGCAAAAAGAGTAATGGACTGTTGATGCAGATTTTCCAGTCAAAAATTCAGTGTTAGTAGACTACTAGCAGTTCTTAGGGAATAAATTCTATGGTTAAATTTATAATTAATTTTAGAATAGCTTAATCCTGCACAATTAGTGGATTTTGATTGCTCTGAAATAACAGAACTGGCTCTTTTCACCAGCTGTAAAATGTGTGCATGTACAGAAATAACAAGCTGAAATTACAGAAAGCTGTGAAGCTTTTGGAGCCCTTTTAGTATCATGTTCCTTCATTAGAGCACATAGAGCAGAGTACCCTCAGCTGTACAAGGAGCCTTTTGGTTGTCAGATGGGATTCAGACTGAGAAGAATCCCTGGCCCTTCTTGGGAAGGTAAGGAGAGAGAGGAGATGCAATACTATATGGTGCATTACTGGGAGCTGATAGTTTTGGACAGCCTGGTTGTTTCTTTGGTACTGTTTCTTGGTGTGGACTGACGTTAACAGTACGATTGAGTTGTCCAGTTGCACGTTGCTGGTGGCATTTCAGAAGCATTAATGTGCTCAGAACATCCATTTGGCAGATGCAGAGCGAGAGCTGTGCTCTGAGCTGGCTCCTGGATACCGCATGGAATAGTCAAGGGTGTTTTGGTTTGTGCCCTAGAGGGTGTTCTCACTAGATGCCTAGCAGTAGGCACCAAATCTGTCAGAAATTATTAAGTGATCGTACACTTTCTAATGCTAATGTAGCATTTTTATAATTTCTTTGTTCACCAAGTTTGAGAAACCAGCTTGTTGAAAAGGGCAACTGCTTTCAGTATAGGGGAAGTTATTTTGTCTTGCAGTGAGAAGTTTGTATTTTGTTTGGCTTTAGTGCTGAATAAATATGGGCTTACAGATTAAATATATAATATTTTTACACTGAGAATACTGAGTTCAAGGTCATGCTTCAACATAGCATTTCCATCATAGAAAAACAAAAAAAAAAATCAGTTTTCTTATATGTCTGTCTTCAGGTCTGAATCTGTTGCTTCCTCCTCATTATCATGATATGAAACATGTTCACAAGATACAAAAAGATACAATAAAGGCTATTTATTTACTTTTTATTATTATTCAAAAAAACAACAGCAAGGGAAGTTAAATGTACTAGGATAGTCCTTACACCTCTGAGATCACCACAAGCATTTAAGAACAGCTTTTAGCCTGAAATAATAGAAGTCATTTGTGTACTCTGAAGTAAAGTAGTCATTTCTGAAAAAAATGTAAAGATTACAATGAACAACTAGTTCTGTTGATATCCTTTCTTCTTTTCTTGGGACTATTTCCATTGTAGTCTTCCCTCTGTCCCTTCCTGTCCTTTTAAAAGAAACTTTTTAATCTGAGGGCAGTTGTGGGTTTTAAAAATGTCTTTGTCTGTACGAGGTTTTCCTGAAATACTGATTTTACCTCATGTTACCTGAAATATTCAGGGGGCATTAGTTGTCTATAAGTGACACCCCGTTCTCAGATGAGGCACCACGTCATGGGGCATCCCTCAAGAGCTGGAGCACCTGCCGCTTTGGTGGCAAGTGAGCAGCTCATGGTCAGGCACTCCAGGCAGATCTTGCAAATGGGGAAAAGGGGAAATAAAGTAACATAACTTTGCTGTTTAGAATGAACATAAGACTTTGATTGTGTTCAGTAAAAGGTGGTTTGATTGTCAGTGCCCAAAAGCATGCTATCTATCTGATTGTGTGGTACCAGTCCAAGCAACAGGTCTTTAGTTTGGATTTGCATAAGGTAACTGCTAGGGCTCTACTAAAGTGCCCATGTGTAGAGCTGGGTTTCTAGAGTGAAACAGGATGTTAATCCAGTTACATACATTATTAGTAATGCTGGTGGTAATGTTACTTAATAAAATGTTGCTATCTTTTTTTACTTTCCAAAAGTCTAGAAGTCTGCGTTTGGAAGGGATGTTTGATGCCCTGTGGCACTCTTGTATTAAGCTGATGCCTCATGAGCTGGACCACTGAACTAATGATGAGGTATCAGAAGTTGTAATTTACAGGATTCTTAGAAAATTACTCTAGGTGTCACAGGTTCAAGGTAACTTTTTTCCTCTATGAAATGAAACTTGTAACTTGAGGTAATTCTGCAATCCTAAACAGGAATGCTGGCTCAAATGCAGTGGAGAGAAAAGAAAGGCCAAGGCAGGCTTTTTCGGCATGTGTAGCATTCGGGTGAGGGCCTACTGGCTTTGAAACCTGCAAATTAAAATTTGCTGTCCATAAGCACCTAACTCTTTCATTGACTTATGGAAGGACTTTGTGGTAGGAAAGCTTGGTATTTTTACAGGCACTTTGGCAAAGGTGATAAGAAGTAAAATGAGAGTTTGAGGGTCTGTGTCTGTCTTCCCCCCCTGTTGGAAATGAGAGATGGAATTCAGGATGGGCCTTGGGATGAAAGACTTCATGCTGAATTGCTAATTTTCAGTTGCCACATAACTCCATTGTTACTTTGTCTGTTATCTTTTTTTCATTGCCTTATTGGACTACCTTTTGGAAACAAAGTACAAGGTAAATGCTTCTTTGGTGAAGCCAAATGCATTGAAATAAACAACTTCTCTTGTTACTAGTCATCTGTTTTTTTTAGTAGTGTGGTATATCACAAATTCTTGAGAAAAAGATTTCTAAGTTCTCTTGCCATAATTGTGTGTAGTTTAAAAAAAAATCCCTCAGGAGGAATAATTTACTGTGTTTATAAAATAAAGCATTTTTCAGGATCAAAAAAAAAAAAAAAAAACTAAAACCTTAACTGTAATTAAATGAAACAGAGTGGCAGTTTGTAACAAAATTGTCATGCTTATTTCAAAAGCCTGAAACTGTAAAACTAGAAGTATTTCAAAAGCAAATTCATACATGACCGATGTTAAGCCAGAAGTTGAAATTTTTCTTCTGAGGCTGATAATATAACCTGAGTTATTTCAGATGTCTCCAAGAAGCTGTCTAGATTATTAATCTTGAAACTTTATATGTTGAAGACTGAATTTGTTTGTATTAATTTTTTAACAACCTAGAATGACAATTTTTCAAAATACTTATGACTTTTTTCCAGTTTGCTCTTGTTCTTAAATAGGTTGTTCAGCTTGTCATCAGAAATCTTTATGAAGGTGTGTTGCAGCTTACAATACCAAGAGATTCAAGTCACCTGAAGGTGACTATAATACATGACTTCATTGTACCTAACTGTCAAATATGTATTTATATATCTAGGTTCAGACAAAAAAGGAAGAAACTTTGCCACCATCACTTAGCCAAAACATTCCAACTTTCTATTTTCCTCGAGGATGTCCTAAGGAAAAAGTGAATATAGATGCTGTGATTGCCAAAATTGAGAGAACTTTCTCTGAGTTTCCAAATGAGAGAGCAACAATAGAAGACATGGGGAAGGTTGCAAAGGTGAGAACTTGCTGGCTGTCTGATTTTAGTACTGTGCACCTATGGAAAGGACACATGGGTTCTGTGTGCTACTTTTTTCTTGCTTTCTGTGTTTTCCTCTCCTACAAGGTAGTAGTACCAGTAAGACATAACTGTGCTATCAACAGTGTTGATCATTGTGTATGGAAATCTTTCCATTAGCTGTGTCTCAAATGGCACTACATTTTGCTTGCCAAAAGAAATAAACATTAAAACAAACTTGAACTTTTTTTTTAGTTGCATAAACAAAAAAATACTGAAGAACAACATTGTGTGTTGTTCTGTGTTCTGTATCAACCAACAGACTTAAGACAAAAGGACTGTTAAACGTGCATTTTTGTTTCCAGGTGGCCATGCTGGTTTTTCTCACTCAGCAGTGTCATGAACCCCTGTTGTAACAACATTAAAGACAGAATGGTTTGGTAACCTGGGATTGTAGCCCTCTAGTTAGTACTGAAGAGCTAGTTTAGAGTTAAGTCAGAGGGACAAAATACTGAGCTTAGAAAGCAGCAGATACTTTTAAACTTCTGTGTAATAGACAATAAGCTAGTTAAATTAAATTTAAATTTCCATTGTTATGTTGAATGAATGCTTGAAATATCACTGCATGGTAATGAGTCTCAAGTTCTCATTCCTGTCATTTAGCATTTAATGTCCAGAGTCTAGAAAATAGAAACAGACTTTTCACAGGAGCAGGACTGGGAGTTCAAAAACTCCTTGTTTGTCTCACCAGAAGCATTTAACTGCTAAGATGAATGATAGGATTCCTGCCTTCCACATCTCCTTTCCACACAGGAGTGGGGAGAGGTGGAAGAGACCCTTCCTTCTCAGCAAGAAAGGTGGAAGGGCCACGTCAGCTACAGTTCAGTGATGAAAGGCACCCTCCTGAAGGTCAAACTCCCTTTTTCTTAGTTTTGATTAAACTGGTACTGGTTAAACAGTTGCATGAGAAGCAGCTGTCTTTTTACTGCAGTGACTTTATACATCTTGCAGTATTCAGTCTTATTTGAGAGCCACATGAGATTCTCAAAGATGCCAGCATGTCTGACTCCTCCTAGTCAGTTTTAGGTGAGAGATACTTAACTGTTACAGCTTGGGAAGCCTGGAGCAGGCACAGAAGTAGTACTGTAGGTATATGTAGGACCATATGTAAATTTGCTCCAATTCAGAAATTTTGTAACATTTTTGTGCTGTCTTGAGCTCAGCTGAAAGATATCCAGCCCTTTAGTGGAGCTTATTAGTATGGACCCTGCTGAGCTGCTTGGTGCGTGCACAGAGCAGACATGTGACTGCATTCATCTATTAGGAATGCTGCAAGTTGCCCTGTGTTTTGCTTTCCACTTTTGGGTTTCAGCCTGAAGCAATTGCTTAAAATTAATTATTTTTAAAAATGCTGTTGGTTTCAGAAATTTTTCTAAAAAAAAAAAAAAAAAAAAAAAAAATCTATGCCTTAACATTTTCTTCTTAACGCTTGTTTATAAGTGTATAAATTAATTTTTACAAGGGAGATAAGAATCAATAAACTGACTTGATGTGTACTTTAATTCTAGGCTTGTGAATGCCCACTTTACTGGAAAGGTCCTTTGTTTTATTGTGCTGGAGGTGAACGAACAGGATACGTGTCAGTTCATAAATTTGTTGCAATGTGGCGGAAGTAAGTAGATTATTTTTTTAGAAGTACTGCATTTTTTTAAATGGAAATGTGATATTTTAAGCTCTGAATGAGATCCAATCTGTAAAGGGGAATAAAACACTTACCCATAACCTACCATTACCTGGAAAATGTACCTGAGAAAATGTAGCTAAATCACTGCTTTAACATAAACAAATCTTTATTTACAGGGTTTATAGATATTTATTTATAGATATAGATGTTTGGTAAATGACTGGCTGTTTATGGGAAAAGTGAAAACCATAGCCCTAATTCATGGATGCCAGTTCTGGACAAAATGCTTTTTATTCTTTCTTGTTCTACTTCCAGTTCTAACTTAAAAATGTCCTTTCACATAATCAATTACTTGGTGTACCCACCCCCTGTAATGTAAATGTTAGACAGTACTGCTTTGATAAGTTCACTTGGAGTGTGATTTGACATTTGTAACTAGCTTTGGAGTTAAATGTGGTGGCTGCAGATTCATAGGCATTGCTCTAGGATGCCAGTACCAGGTAGCTTGAGCAATTTTCTCTGTAGAGTATAACATGGAAATATTTCCATTTCAGAGTACTTCAGACCTGCTATGATGATGCTGCAAAGTTTGTTCATCTTCTAATGAACCCTGGATGTAACTACTTGGTGCAAGAAGACTTCATTCCTTTTTTACAAGTAAGTTGCAACTGAAAGTAGATCTGAAAACACAACAAAATGATGAGCTAGCAAAGCCTGAATTTTTTGAGGTAAACATACTTTTTCATAGTCTTCATTAAAGGTTATTGATATTTAGTGAAACTCACTTTGTATGGTCCACTGAGATGCTAGTGATGCAGTTAATAATTTTGTATAAATGGGGTCTTTTTTCAGAGCTACAGTAAGATGCATAAATTTAAAATTGCTTGCAGGAATAGTACGTGTTTCAGAGAATCCTTACAGTTTAGAAAGACATTTGAAGTCAAGGAGGACCTTTGGGCAGCAAAGGAAAAGTAGCGTATGAATTTAGGACCTAATACAACTTAAGAGCAGCAAACACCACCTTTATTAATGAATGAATAAAACCTAAATTTGCTGTTACTGAATTATAGTCAGCCACAGAATTACAAGCTACGACAGACAGCAGTATTCAAAATCTTCAGCCCATCTAAAATACAGGAAAGCTTTTGTTTATCTGGCTTCTTTAGAAGATAATTTTATTTTTAAAAACTCAGCAGTGTTACTTACATGAAGTGTGTTGTAAATGAAGTAGTCATAAACTATTGTGGTAGTTAATTTGAACTTTTTTGCTTAAGGAAGCAGATGAGCTATTTTTTGCTAATTGTTTTATATAGTTGCTAATGAATACTGTTTGGGATATTCTCATTCCTTTTTCTGTAGGATGTGGTGAATAGCCATCCTGGCCTCTCATTTTTAAAAGAAGCAGCTGAATTTCATTCTCGGTACATTACCACAGTAAGTGATATCTGTATTTTGAAAAGCTATTTTTTATTAATTAAATAGGAAAATCAAAATTAAGATCAGTCAATATGTATAAGCATCTTTGTCCCATGAGAAGAGTTAAGTATGCTGTCAGTCTTCATTTCTTTGTAACTAGAAATCTTGTCAAGAAAGACTCAATTTCCTAAGCACCATAGTTTTTTCTTAACTTTTCTAAGAAGTTGCCCAACTTAGTACTAGTAAGAGAAACACTGAATTGCAATAGTGCATAACAAGTTAATGAACACTAAATGAAGAGCAGACTGTTATCCTTAAACACTTGATTGTGGCTATAGATTGTACTCATTAGGATTCTGACCTTACTCTAGGATTAATTAAATGGAATTTTGAATGAAAGGTGTGTATTAATGTGATTATGTTCAGTATTGAGTAAAATAATGATAATATTGAAGCTGCTTGCTACTTTCCTCTCTGGGGATTTTTCTTTCAAAGCGGGTTTTATACATGAAAAGTTCCACTTCTCTCTTTCTAGGTTTATGTGACTGAAGCACTCTTTCTGTACCCAAGGGAAAAAAGCAGTGACATTAAATTTTCTTCGTTGTAGACTAGACAGCTGATTCCATTGAAGTCTCAAAAGATTAAAATTTTTCAAAATGACATTGAGTTCACTTTGTGCAGGTGAAAAAATAGCTTAATGAATACTCTCCAACAAAAACCATGCAGAATCGATCATCTTTTATCCAGCTTACAGTTTGACCCAGACTGAAGCTGTAGAAGCTTTTTTGAAAGCATTTGGTTTTGGTTCTTCATATCCTTCTTACAAAGACTTGCTGGCCTCTAAAGCATGGCCTGCTGCACTAGGCTTTGCTTCTTGTTACAGTGATTGTGAGCTCCAGAACTTTCTTGTCAGATGTGACTGAAGGAAATGTTCTGCCCGTGAATGGTTTTCTTTCTGAATGGATTCTGGGTTGTATCAAAGCTTGTTCTGCTTAAAATTGAGCAAGCTTGCTGGCTGCCTTGAAGGACTGTAGGAGGGGAAAGGTCCTGCTGTTCCCACTTACTTTTCTTTGGAGGAGCAGCTTATTTGAGTAGGCCTGAGCATAGCAATATTGAATAAATTAGTGCAGGCAGTACTTGAGTAAAAATTTAGTGCAGTCCTCCACAGAAGTCAGTGTTTAATCAAAAATCCAAAAAGTCAATCAGTAGTGTCAGGAATATAGCAACAATATTTGGAATACTAATCTGCAGACCAAGAAGTGGCAGGAGGACTCTCTACCTTTTCCCCATCATATTTTAGGATGGACTAACTGTTGCCCTCTACAGTCTTCTAATATTCTGTCCTGTATGTTATTACTAATAAATGCAGATTATTTTTTCTAAGATGAAATAAAGCATTTCATACCTGTCTGCTAGGCTACAATGTAGGTTGGTTGGTCAGTCAGTCCCATGGTAAGGTTAGGTATGTATGTCCAAGATCAAGCTGAAATATATTAAAAAAGTTTGCCCTGACAAATGAGATACTACATTTAATCTGCAAGTACGTTATGTATATATCTGAACCATGAATTCTTGAAATAGTAATCCCTGTATAGCACCATTTCCTCTCCCTCCTGACAAACCACTGTGCAGCATAGTAAAGAAGGCAATTCTCTGACAATTTGCTTATACTCTGCTTCAATTCACTTTAGAAAACCATTTTTTCAAGTCTGTTCCCAGTTGTGTTTAGCAAACATTCAATTTTGTTTTTATTTTTGGACCAGTTAAATATATAACAGATGAGATAATGACATGCAGATGGACTAAGTTGCAAAGCTAAGACAAAACCTTTTTAGAAAAAAAATTGCTTTGTAGTATAAGCCAAAAATGGGCCTTCCCTAAACTCACAATTAGAATTTAGCTAATTAAGTTTCAGAAGTAGGCTAGTCTGTTCTCCTTTCTGGATTTGAGCCAACTGTTCCTGTTCAAAGAGCTGTAGAGCTTGCTGCATGCTACAGTTTAAGCTTTATTTTTAAACTTTATGAATAAATTACTCTTCTATTTGTAATTTAGAAATGATCAATTTGTTTAAACGATTGATTTACTACAATTAAAAACTGGAGGGATAAAAACTGAAATAATGGAGTCCTTAGTTGGGAAGAGGTTTTATTCGGGGCAAAAGGGTTCCTAAAGATACGAGGATTTTAGCTAGTAACTACTGTGTTGCAAATGAAACACTACACATGCAATACTTAGTCTTGCCAGTTAGCAGGTATGATCAATCTCCAATGAAGCAGTTATAGTTAATATAAACATAATATGCTTAGATTTTTTTGTCTGCTTTTGTTCGTAGTGACTGGCTTGAATTGTATATTTGATTGACTTAAACTAATTGAGGCGAATACTGAATGCATTTAAGAAACAGAAAAAGTATATTTTAAAGTCTTATGTTTGTAAACTAAACAAATTATGCTAAATGCATGAGTTTACCAAAATGTGCATATGAAATCTATTTGAACAAAGGTGTTGGATAGTCAGCTGAATGGATTTGTTTCTGGCTCCAGTCCAAGACATGGCACAAGAACTATTCATCTTTCTTGCATAGATTTTTTTGTTGTTCTTTTCCAGTTAGAAAACATTTATGTACTACTTATAATACCATTTAACTTTTTTTTTTTAAGTACCTTTAAATAGAATAAAAGTAAATGGGGAGAAACTTTTCTCTCTTGACCTGCAGGATATGCTTCTGTCAGATGCTGATCTGTGTTATTTGTGAGCTTCAGAAGTAGCAATGTCCCCCTGTACTCAGATCCTTAAACAGTCCCAGTTCTATTTTTGTGACTACATTTATGAAGTGAAATATTCTGACAGTAAATACAGGTCTTTAAATCTAAAGGAGATACATTTAATAGGTTTATTAGGTGATTTCCTGTAGATCTTGGAGACTGAGAGGTAGTGAAATTGGCAATACACATTCTGGAGAGCATACAAGTGTTCTGCAACTTTGAGATATGAGTACTGCAGCACTAAAATAAGACTTATCAAGGTGAGTTTAGATATAGAAGCAGTTTGGTATATGACATAGAAGAGAAGCATCAACCTACTAAATAACGAGAACAGAAATAGGGGAAGGGTGGAGTTCTGTAATGCATCTGAGCTAAGACTTATCTCTGCATTTAGGTGTGTACTTAGCATACCTAAGATCACCTTTCTATTTTCTGTTTCTTAAAGGTTATACAGAGAATATTTTATACAGTCAATAGATCCTGGTCTGGGAAGATAACTTGTAATGAGCTTAGGAAAAGCAACTTTTTGCAGGTATGTAATATCTAAAATTTTGCAAGACAGATGTTTCTAGAAGTTTAAAAACTGCATTAACTACATGCCTAAGGGAGTAACATTAGTAGCATTTCTTCCTTTTCTAGAAACCAGTTGAAGGCACAAATGCATTAATTCTTATACACTAGAATATGGAAATGTAGTCTTTTATTACAGCTGTTTATATACATATGTGTTTAGCAGAAGTCTGCCTGATCTCGTTCTTCTGTGGAGAGATCAGTTTTCTACGTTGCGTGTTCAGTCTTTGCTGTCACGTTGCATGGTGTGCACTCCGAAGATAAAAATCGTTCCACTGAAACAGCATTAGATATTAACTTGGTTATGAGAACTCAAATAATTCAACAAAAGTCTTACAAATTCTTTGATGTGTTCTATTTATCCTTCTGATAATAGAATGTGGCGTTATTGGAAGAGGAAGCTGATATTAACCAGCTGACAGACTACTTCTCATATGAACATTTTTATGTTATCTATTGCAAATTTTGGGAGCTGGATACAGACCATGACCTCTATATTGATCGGAAGGATCTAGCTCGACATAATGACCATGGTATGACAAATGAAGCACCTTTATTTACATGTTTGACCTGTAAACTTCCAACTGAGGATGTGGTTAACTGCCAAGGACAGTGTTCATGAGTCTGTTGGTATAGCTGATCCTGCTGGCTCAGTGAAATAAAGCAGGACAAGTCATCCGTAACACTGCTTTGTGTCTAGCAATACCAAATTCAAGGGAAATTATGAATTTGAATTCTGATCTTGGCAACAAAGTAGAGGGGAAAAAATAATTCCTGGTATATTGTAAGTGGCTGCATTTGACAAATTTGGGTTATCTTGGGAACAATCCATTTTGCTGATGTTATTCAAGTAGCATGGCTCGTAGGGCAAGGTATGAAAAGAGAGAAAAAGGCAAACATACATTCAGGTACTTATTTTAAAGTCTTGCTAACTCAGCTGTAGTACACCTTGTTTTAATACTATTTAGCAGCTTTACATTTGCTGCATTCACAATATAAAACAACTGATCCTGTAGTCCTGCACATTTGTACCAATTTTAAATATTCTTGTAGCTTGTATAGAACTGTTGGGATTTATTTGAATCCTTGTGTCCACTGTCATCTTAAAAGTAGTTGCTTTAGGACTAGAAAGCTTACTTAAGCACAAAGTGATTGTGGAATATTATCCCACATTAAAAATAATAAACAGTTCTGATTGCTTCTGAAAACTTGCCTGCTGCAGTCTGACCACTTTAGGACACTGAGGAAGGGAAGCTGCTTTCATTTGGGTGGTCACTCTACTGCGTTTGCACATTAGAGAAAGGAAGCAGAGTGATACGATGCCACTTGCAGTTTAGTTTTGCATCTTTAAACCATGGGATATTGGTTAAAGCTTAACAGCTGCTGCTTAATGAGAACTAGACTAATAGAGTCTAAGAGTATAAAATGGATATGATAACCCAACTTTAGCCTTAAACTTGTATTTTTTGCATGTCAAAATTTAGATCATCTGGTTTTATCAATCCCTGTCATACTGTCACTGGCCTAAAATTAGGCCAGATCAAACATTTCCTGAGTAAGAAAATGTTTAAGTATGTAACTGTTGTTGATAAGGTTGGAAAAACTTCAGTGTTTCAAAAGTAGAAGATAAGAAGCAGCAGCATATATGTCTGAATTTGCTATCCTACAGCTCCAGGGATAAATTTTAAGCAGGGACTAGTGTCCCTGCTAGATTAATATGGTGACATCACCATAACTGCATAAAAAAAAGATGAGTTATTTAAATGATTAACCAGCTGCTTTAATTATCAGCGTTCCTGAAATTCTGAAAAAGTCTTTCAGAGCTAGAATAATGAGAAGTCCTTCTCCTGTGAGAATAGTATTATGTGCTGCTTTGGGTATCATCCTCAAATTCTTCAGGATGAACTGAGTATCCTTTACAGAGCTACTCAGTTAAGACATGTCTATAAAATCCCTGAAATGGTTTCAAAATAGAAGCATGGCTCAGAACCATGTCAGAAATAGACCCCTGCCAGAATCAGTTAGGTATGCTCATTATGTATGAACGCGCCGATTCTATTTTGGCTCTTTGCCAAGGTCACGTAAAATGTAATGGCAATGGACCTGAAAACATGATTTACTTGTCAAAGAACTGGTAAATGCTGTTTATTAATCAGCCAATTCTACTACTTTCACTACACTACTATTTCTGTATCAAGTCTGAATTCAAAGCTGGTTGGTTCTAGCTTTGCTTTGGAGACTGTTAAGTGATCCTCTGCAAGAGGACTCAAAGGGATTAATGATTGCTACACTTGATCTTCCTCACACATGTGTGTATGTAAGAGAGTTCCAGTAAACTCTTCTACTAGACAATACAAAGCAAAAATAACTTGTACATGAGTGACCCTATTTTAAACCTTGTTTCACAGCAATTTCAAATAGGATGATAGAGCGGATCTTCTCAGGCGCAGTAACAAGGTACTTATTTTATATGCTTATCTAAATCAAATTTAATATTTGCTGGATAAATCGTGTGTTCTCAGACAAAAAATGTCTTCCCCTTGAAACAGAGCAGTGAATTTCAAGATTCAGTATTGCAGTTTAAACTCTAGTAGTACTACAGTGTTTGTGGAGCCTTTGATTGGTGCAAGGTCTTTACTCTCTTTACCCATAGGAACATTTGCCATTGGCTGTTGCATGGTTTAGCAGGGATGGGAATGAGGAAGGGACAAAATGTTTGCAGATTTTAATTTCCATCCCTCAAACCTGTAAAACTTTCAAAGGGAATTTTCAGTACTATTTGTAAAACCAGTGCTTATTGGATCAACAAATTCACAAAAATGCCTCCAGTTAAGTTTTTTGGGGTTTTTTTTTTGGTTTTTTTTTTTTTTTTTTTTGTTGTTGTTTCTGCTTGGGTTGATTTCCTCTTCTGTATTTATGGCGTTTTGCTCACTTTTTTTAACTTTTGCTAGCACAGTATCCACAGATAGAAAGTGACTGATAAACAGAAATAACAAAACCTGAAATGAGTGAAATGACACTTGGTAGGCATGTGTCTAGTTCTTACTCCTTTATGCAAGTTTTTGGGGCAAGACAAAACATAATACCATATTTTTCTAGACATCATGGGGATTAACCAGCAAAAACTATATTTTAGGAATGAAATGTAATATGTCTAGGAACTGCCTACCTGACTTACTAGACAGGTTGACCATGTGTCTTCAGAACATATTCAGATGCTGTGTTCTGTGGTATGAGATTAGAAACAGATAACTATGTTCTTGCCACAAGCACTTGCTGAATGTTTTCATTTCATTTTTATCTTCATATTTCCATTTCAACACTTCCAGCTAGTGGAGTTTTGTGCAGCTTTATCATCTGATAACTTCAGTTACCTGATTAGAAACTCTAAAAAGCATGTGTATTTGTATATAATATATATTTTAAAATGAGGTAAGACATCTCTTCTGTTAAAAATGGAGCAGTGGTATTGCTGCCCAGGAAGGAAGGGCTGAGGTCCTTCTGGACAATGTGCTCCCTTCCTCTTTAACTGTTGTGGTAGAAACAGAACAGAGCACACAGGCTCTTTATCCCAAGTGATCAAAGCAGTCAGTGAAAAGGCACCATATGAACACTGCGTTGTTTAGAAGTAAATAAACAGGTAATAGCACCCAGGAAAATACTCCTGTATTTTGGCTACTTAAAGGTGATTTAAAACAATTTTTCTCTTTTTCCTCATTGGCCTTCAAGAGGTAGGAAAGCACAAAAAGATGGGAAAATTAGCTACGCTGATTTTGTCTGGTTTTTGATATCTGAAGAGGACAAGAAGACACCAACTAGGTAAGAATGAATTTGTTTTAACAGAAATAAAGACTGACTTTATTACTTCTCCAGTCCTTAAATAGGCAGTGCTGATGCTCAGCTGGAACTCTGCTGAAAAAAACCTAAACTATAAAAATGTGCGTGGAAAACTGGCCCGGTTTGTTGCAATCTTATTTGTGTCCTGTTGTTGCTGTTGTAGAAGTCTATTTTAATGACTTTTAAGAGGCTACTTCAGTGTTATTGTTCATATGCTGTGTGTGGCCTACTTATAGACAGGGTCATAGATAAAGGAAATTGTAGTTGTTTCATGATGCCAGTGACTTATGGGAAACTACAGGTAGCATTAGCTGCAGGGTATTGATAAGGAACCTATTGTGTGACATGCCACTGGCTTGTTCAATAGGGAAAAAAAAGGGGGGTTGATGCACAGTTCAATTATTCATTGGTTCCCTTGAATTTTTATGTAAAACCATGTTTTAGTCCTCTCCTTCACCCACTTAATTAACAGGTGGTGTTTAATCAGTGTCATGGCACATAGCAGGCTTAAGTCTGCATGGCTGCAGTCTGAAGTCCCCTTTTGCGTCTGGAAGTCGCGTAGCCTTTAAAGTAGCAACATGTGCATGAAATGGTGCAATGAGTTTGAGTAAACAGTTCCTTGCTATTCCTGAATTTCAGCATTGAATATTGGTTTCGCTGCATGGATCTGGATGGGGATGGTGCTTTGTCTATGTACGAATTGGAGTATTTTTATGAAGAACAGTGCCAGAAATTAGATAACATGGCCATAGAACCTTTGCCATTTGAAGACTGTTTATGCCAGATGCTAGATCTTGTGAAGCCACAATGTGAAGGTAATAAAATTCTTTTTCATCTGTAACTTCTGCTTCTCTGGTTGAGGAGTTGGTGTACTCTTAAGTTGGTCATATAAAGCATAGGTCTTTATGTTGTCTTTTCTCTAAGGTCTGTTACAGCTTATTAACCTAATGATTTTCTAATGGCAGGCAGGCATTCATATTCATACTAAAATGTAATATGCTTTATATTCCTCGTAGGCTTTTATTTTAGGCTTATAGCCATGTTTAGTCTTAAATGAAATCTTGTCACTATCTGGCTGAGGTGATGCATTCAAGAAAAGCTTCTGTCTGTTCTGTTCACTTGCCTCTTACCTGTTCCAGTGCTTGTTTAATAGAGACTTCTTCAGAGAGAACAGTCTCTGAACAATATTTGTGTCTGTGTATCAGTAATGACTTATTTTTTGGTTAGAAGCCTAAGCTGCCCTTAGGAAATTCATGTCAAGGGTCTTAAAAATAACTGAATGCCAAACTGCTTGTAGTTTTTGGCTATTTTCTATATTCAGCTGAACCTTCATAGACCTGTATTCTACTCTCTTGCATTTGAGATATGTGTGGCCTTTAGCTGATGAAATGTCAGTTGACATTTTTCACCTGAAACAAACTTACAAAGTGAGCATGATGCTCACTTCACATTTGCCTTTCTGTGCTGCTTGGTACTAGAAATATTTTGGTGAACATATTGCTGTGGTGCTGAAGAGTGGCGTCTTGCACATGCATGGCCTCTACCTCTGTGCTGTTCTGAGATTTGTCTCACAAGGTAATAAAACTATTGCAGCCATGATGGATTAGTCTTAGGGGATTTGTTAAACTCAACACAGCTGAGGTCAACCTGTATCTAAGCTTTGTTTCAACCCTTGACCACAGTTAGCACTAATAACCCTGATTATGGCTTGGAATAAAAGGGCTTGGAATACTGTCTGGTTGCTGTTGTACAGATGCTGCATTGCCATAAATGTAGAACTTGGGTATTTGCTCTTGACATATTTGACAGCAGTAGTAACCTCTCTCACATATATTAATATCTGCTATTTTTTATGGTAAAAGAAAATTGTTGACCTTAATGCCTTTGATTAGCAAATGTAATGTTGTGCTAGTTCCACATTTAGACTCTTAGGTGAAGCACTGAGGTTTTTTTCTTACTTGAATGTCAAGAGCCACTTTAATATGTAAAAGTGTGGCTCTGTTTACTGTTTATACAGTTACGGTTAGAGAATCAATTAGTAACAGTCTTGATTATTGCTCACCTCTCTAGTACTAAGAAAAAAATTACAGGAAACGGAATTTTATTTTTAAAAGGCAGTTGTCTTTTATTGAGACATGATTTCTTGCATGCTAAGGGAATTGAAATAGCTCAAAATTAGAACATAAACATTCGTATTCTCATTTAAACCAAGTTAAAATGTATTTGCTGAATGAAAATGTTTCAAAGGACAGATTAAAAAATTGTACATGAAAAAGGAGTATTAAGTTTCAGCTGGAAGCTCAATGCAAGATATCAGTGGAATGAAGTCTGAGACCAACAGTGTATAATGCAAGGGGGGTGGGAACCATTTGAGATGAAGTAAAGCAAGCTCTGAGGAACACGTTTGTGTTATGTGGTTGCCTACAATAGTCTCCAAACTGGGGCTCCCTTTCAGTCTTGTGTATTATGCTTCTGAAAGGCAGACTTTTTCAATAATGTTTCTGTTCTGTATTCCAAGTGGAACAAGACTGATGTATCTGTTCTATGTCATGGAGGTATTTAAAAGGAGACTGTGAAACACAACCAGGTTGAGTTATTTAAGGAAGAAAAAATGAAAGCCAATTGTGAAGTGCTGGTGGTTTTTATAAAAACTGAGTGATGTTTAAAAGGTGGTTTAAGAAAAAATTCTTCTGTTGTCTTCATAACATAAAAAATAGCAGCATAAAATGACATTTCACTTGGTAGATCTGAAACAAAAGAAGGGAATTCCGTAGAGACGTGGCTAAACTGTGGTACAATTGCTACAGGATGCTCTGTGTACCAAAGAGCAAATCCTTTAATTTGTAGAGACCTGTATTAATTGTCTCCATTTCATTCTTTTTTTATTGGTCTTTGAGAGACAGGGGTAGGCACCTACAATGTTGGGTGTCTAAGCTCCAGTTGCAGTAAATGAAACTGGAGAGCAAATTAGCAAACCAAATATAAGTGTCTAACTTAAATTGGGACCTTATATAACCATGACTAAAATCATTTGCTTGGTTGAGGAGAGTTGCTGCCACTTGAGATGGCCCAGTACATCAGACATCTGTGTGGGTCTGACAGATACGACACAGGTGCCATGAGGGATTTGTGTCCTGGAGCATCAGCTGTAAGCCAGGCAGAATACAGTAAAGCAACTCACGTGGCAACAGAGACAATTGTGGCAACCACTTCCAAATGGGATTCAAGTTTTCCTTCCCTCTGTTGTCCTTGAGTTATACTTTGTTAGAGGCTGAGCCTATGCTGAGGAAGTCCTGTTCCGAGTCTGGCTTTTGTTGAACTCTTCCATAGCATCTGCATTTAGCCCCTCTTTGATTGACAACAGAAGAATGGCCATATTTCAGGTGAATCAATAAAGGGTAGTTTTAAGTATCTGTCTTTCCATGTACATCTGGCATTTTTCAGTCTTTCTGCAGGAACTTAATATTCAGCTTTGAAATAAGCTGAGCAATTGAAATATTGAAGTATTTCTGAGCAGCCTGACAGATACTTCTAACACTTAACAGCTCCATTGATTTGGGTCTTTAAAGTATCACGGTATTAAAAACAGACTAAACCAGCTCTGAGCATTTAGCTTTCCTCTCAAGCAGTAAATAATGATCAGGCTGGACAAGTGTGTCAAACTAACCTCTATGAAAAATTCATCTGTATGAAGCAGAGTCACACACTGTGATCTTTGTCATACATTTTTCTTTTCAAGTCAGGGAAGAGAAAGGGGCACTGCCAGAGGAGATTCATGCCTGCTCCCCAGGCACTTCTTGGAGAGGAACTGCCGGCTCACTGGGGACTTCTGTCCCTTGAGGAAGCTTAGACAATTATCTTAAATGGTTTTTAGTAGCGAGGCAAGGTAGAATGCATCTCACTCCAGCATATTGAAGGACAGTAGGATGACAGCTAAAGCAAGTAACAGATCTGAGGCATTTGAAAGTTTTGTTCACTTTAAAGGACACGTCTCTGGGTGTGTATTTCATCTGATCGCTACTCTACCATTGTGTTGAGCATGAGACACAAATGTTCTTGAGCATAATGATGGCTTAACTTATGAACAACATTCCACCTCTTTGGAGAAAGGCTGATTTCAGCTCTAAGTGTCTCCCAATTCTCTGTACAGGAAAAATTACTCTGCATGATTTAAAGCGATGCAAGTTGACCAATGTGTTCTTTGATACATTTTTCAACATTGAAAAATACCTCGACCATGAACAGAAGGATCAGTTTTCTATGTTGCGGGTGAGTGTGAAGCTTTACAAGTCTCTGTAGCTGTGTGCTTAACGATTCATACAAGTAATAATTCATGTGATCGTTTAGGATGGTGAAGGTGAAAACCAAGAGGTCTCTGACTGGGAGAAGTATGCTGCTGAAGAGTACGACATCTTGGTAGCAGAAGAGGCAGCAAGTGAGCAGTGGAATGACGGGTAAGAGTGCAGCAGGAGGGTTGGTACAAAGCCTCTCTGCTAAGGCAGAGTCTCACCACCACTGGCGTCCTTGATGCTGTTTTTGTAGAATGTTGCTGCTTGTCATGTTTAGCCATGTGTTCAGTGAGGGAAGAACCTTTCTTGTATCTCAAGCTATATATTCCTTGGCAGTTTGTGATCACATTGGTTTTGTCAAAGGAAAGGTCCTACTTCAAATTTTGGGAGGCAGTAACATTTGAAAAAGCTTCAACTCTAAGCAAAAATGCAACATTAATTTTTGTAGCTTGTTGCTAAATGAAGAGCTTCAGTAACAGCTTTGAGAGGGAGGGTGGAAATCTCACTTCTGAACTCAATTATGTCAGCTTAGAAGTATTTTCTCACAGTTCTCTAAGAGTAAATAAGATGATAAAACTTGCTGTTTCAAAATCACTCCTTTATTTTTGCTGTGGAGCTTCCAGAACCTCTCGGAATCCAAAGTCTTAAATTTGCCATTCATTGTTTTTGGTGTTTAAAAAGATAAGGAAAACAAGTACAAATGATTTTTTTAGGCCTTAAGTTGATGAACCTCTCTAGAGAAAACAACGTATTTTCCTGTATTTCCTGCATCAATATTCTGTTTTAAAATATCTCTGAATCTTGCCAAGCATTTAGAGGATTATTAGCTTGATATTCAAGAGAATGCTGTAAAATCCTCTTGGAATACATTTGATTTCAAGAAACTTAGTCACAAAAAGTGTATGAGGGAAGAGAGGGGGGAGGGAAAGAACTGTTATCACCACTCGGCCTCTTCAGCATTATGGGAGATCATGGAATCCTCTGCTACAATGTATTAATATTATAGAATTGGCAAGCCAAAAAATAACTGAAGCTTTGATGTGCTGTGAGTTACACAATATTAAACCTTCAGTGCTCTTTATCTCATTTGATCTCATAAACTCATAGGCTACATTTGGGGAAGATACAGAATAGGTGTGTACTTTTTTCACAGTTGTTTTGAGACATTATAATTATACCAGCTTAAACTACAGGCATCAGAAGAAAGAACAGCTTCTGTGGTCTTACTGACTGTGAAATGTTATTTATTTAGAACTCAGCTGACAGAACCAGTGGGATTCTTATGAACTGGTGAAGGATTCAGATTTTTAGTCCTCTGTTTTAGAATACCCTTATAAACATAATCTGTTTAAACCATCAGGACTCAAAATTTTCTAAAACTCCTGGTGGACTTAGGCTGCTCCTAACAGGCTCAGACCAGCCCCTACAGAGTCTGCCCTCACAGCAGGGTCTGTCAGAGTGCCCCTCTGACACAGACGCAGTGAATCAGTGCATCAGCTGGTCAGCCTGAGAGCCCAGGCTTGGCAAGAGTTAAAAGCATTTAGGAGCCTTAAGGTACTGTTGAATCTGAACATCTTAAATCTTAACTAGAACCACTTCCTCAAATGTTTTAGCCTTACTGTCTCTCTCTTATACTGGTCTGTTTGTTTACTTCTGTCGCAGTAGTTGTGTGTCTCCATCTTCCTGTTGTAAAATTCTGCTGCAGTTGTGACTGTCTAGAATCTGAGTGGTAAGCCCCTTTTGCTCATTTTCAGATACAAAGTTGTAAAATTCAGATGCCTTCTGACTAACGTGGTCACAAGCTCACCTGAGAGTTTATAGTTAAATGCAGCTTTCCTAGATTCCATTAAGATACTATTCTTCTGTCCTGGAGCTTTTCAAGCCTCATACAGCTTTGCTGTTGGAATACCCTGAGAAACCAGTTCCTTTGTCAGCGGAGAGATGCTCAGGGTTCAGAAGGTCTGTAGAAGCTAATCTGTAGTTAGGCTGCCAGGGAAGGATTTCAGAGGTTCCTCTGTCCTGAGACTCTGCAGTACTGCTGGCAGCTGAAGCTCACTGGAGGCAAGATGTCCCGTTGCCATTAGTAAGGGGCTGGGTTACTCTGCAGCTCTGGTGAAGGGCTTGAAACTGCTGGGCTGCTGTAAACAAGTGGAATGCTGCAAAGTTCTGAGATAATGTTTAGGAACAATTTCACAAGTGCAAACAGGAAATCATGTAAGAGCCTCAAGGTGCTTTTATTCGATTCAGTTATGAGTTTGTTGACTGTGGCTGCTTCTCTGAGCTAAGCATACCTCTGTGATTATCATTTAGACCAAATTATTTTTTATGTATTCCCACTCCCATCATCCCTTAAGGTGTCTGCTCTTGGTGAAGATAAAAGTTGCAAAACTCACAGCCAGTATTCTTGGAGTCAGGTCACTTCTGCTATTTTTCCACAAAAGATGTATTCAGGGTATACCTGAAACCATGGTTCTATGGCTCTGCACAGAAAGTGGACAAAATAAAGTACAAAATGTTTATCAAGTTAAAATTTTGTATTATAATTTACCTTTAATTTTCATTCTGCAGTAAACTTCTGACAGGTCTTGGACACTTAGTGTTTCAGGTACTTCCATGAAGTTTGTTCTTTCCATGGTATAGGCACAGTCTTCTTTATATGTCCATGCAATTACAGCTTAAGTAATACAGAAAATATTGTGGAGCTTACGGTATGTGAAGCAGACTCCTAATAACCCTAAAACTAGAAAGAATGCACCTTCACTGTGCAAATACATTCCCTAAGGAAAAAGTGTGTTATTGCAGGAATAATGTAGTGGATGGAGTACACTGAGATATTCAGGAGAGAAGACGTATGATGCTAAAACATCCAGGTCCTCGTTTCTTTTGAGCTTGGTGCTATAATTGTACAGTTGTAGTTTTATAAAAACCTCTGTGCTGAGAAGCAGCAATAAACTTCCTAATACTGTGAGAAATAACTCAAATAGTGGCCAGATGTGCAAAATTTGAGACATTTCTAACTTTCCTTAAACAGCTTGAAAAGGAGAACAAGGTGATATTTCATGAGCCCACTAAAGCCCTGGAAGAGAATGGGATTTTAATTTGGTCCAATAATGTCTGAATAACAATCTTCCAAGTATAGGATGGATGGAACCTACAAATAGTATCTGAGGTATCTTCATGGTGCTATTTTTAATGACAGGGAAAGCTTCTGTCACCTCTCTGTATCACTATGCAATAAGCAGATCCAAAAGATGCATTCAAGATGTTTCTGTTTAAAAAAGGAAAAAATTAAATCCTTCTTAAAAACATTGAATTAATAGTGTAGAAGACTATAAATTCCAGGTCTGTGAGCCAAAACTGTTACGGTAGAATATGCATCTTTCTTCCAAATCCTTGTTTTTTAAATGTGTAACTCAGTAAAGCAACTCTTAGAATCACTTTTGTTTCCTGTTCAAATCAGTGGTGAATTTGTGGGAGAAACCCAGGGTATTCTGCTCACTAAGCAGTGATTGATGCTCATATAATTGAGGCTTTAATACCTGTGGGAAGGATGAAATAACAATTAAAAAAAAATCAGGATCCATTTTTACTCAGTGTTTAATCTTTACCTGATGCTATCAAAGTATCTTTATTTTGTTAGATTTATTTTGCTGAAAGTGGTGGTGAAGCTGGCTTAATGTGTTTAATAGTTTATGAAGTGAAAATAATGTTTTTCCTCCCATCTCTGCCATCACTGCTGCTCTATTTTAGTGTTCACAGTGGGTTCTTAGTATTTAATTCTTCTTTGCCCTGTGCCTTTCTCTGAAAGGACACTTGTCATCACCACATACTGCCATTATAACATCACATGAAGAGCAGATGCTGCAGTATCTAAAGCTCACTCTTTGCCCAGTCGTAAATAGATGGGAATAATCACATGCCAAGGTGAGATTCAGTAGCTCTCGGGAAGATGGGCATGAACCTGAGGCAGCGCAGCCCAGGAAATGGTCAGTTCTTTAATCTGACATCATAAATCTCCAGAGATTTATGTTTAGTGTCAGTTTAGCTTGATCCCACCCTGAACAGTGCTGAAGCTGATCTTTATTTTAACTATCAGCCTTCACTGACTTGCGTGAGTCAAACATTAGGTCTCGTTACCCACGTGTTCACTCCCAGCAGCAGCAGGTGGTTCTCAGTCATTTCTGCTTCCTGGTACCCACTTGAAGGGGTGGTCGCCATCGCTCCCTTGTGCTCATGGGCATCTGAAGGGCTTTCAGCATTCCTTCTCTTTTGTTGTGTCTCCTGCAGGTGGACTTTCTTCTTCAAACAGCCTAATTTCAGTTTTCTTGAAAAGTACTTGGGTTTCTGTCAAGTACTTACATCTTGCATTTGAGCATTTCTAACCTCTGAGCAGCCACCAGAGCAGCCTGTGCTTTGAAGCCTTTCAGTAAAGCTGCCTATCTTGCTCAGTGATGAGAGAGTAAACTACCTTGGGTTGAAGCAGTTACCACAGCCTAGTGCTGCTTCTGGTTACCTGTGTCTTTACTGTAGATACAAAACAGTGGAAATCATGATCTTCCTGCAGGTCCCTTGTTAGCATGTCGAATTTCAGGCACTTCCTGACCTACCTGGACTCTTCCCTTTCTTTCTTTTTTTGACCATTCCTAGGTATGAAGCAGAACTGAATCCCGTAGACCACCAGAAGGCCAATGTCCTGAAGTATCAAATGGAAAAAAGACCGTTTTTTGAAATGCCTTCCCATCTGGCTGACGTGGACCTGGATGAATATGACTATGAAGAGGACTTTGAGTAGTGGCTCCTTACGGTCAGCACTTGCAGAAGAGAAGGGACAGTCTGCAGCAGGTCTGCTACACACACACCTGTACGTTTCAGTGGGGTTTGGTTCCAGGAGGTCAGCTTAGGTTTGTGCTAAAAATATTTAATCACTACACTACCTTTTAAATAAAAGAAGCGCATTTGTATGGAATGATGAAAATTTTTGTATTTATTCAATAGTCTATAGCTTGTAAAATAGATTAAAATATTTATTTACAGATTTTGCATAATTCCTTTTTGGAAGAATAACAATATTTGACTTTAGAGAAAAGTAATCTACTGTGTTTTAAGAGAACTGTGTCATTCTCTCGGAGCTGATGTGTGGTGCACTGACCATCTCCATCCCATATGGGCACAGGCATTCCTGTCGCGCGGTG